GCATATCCAAACTCAACGTATTTTATGTTGGTGACTAAGTCAACTTCTAATAAGATGAATGAAGAATTGATCTATTTGAACTAAAAGTCAATTCAACCTTTCTTTTCAATTAAAAAAATGTAATCAGCTTAATGACTGAAAATAAAACTGCAAAACTGCAATTTTTTCCTCAACTTTATTCTATTAAAGCCAACTGAACATTTCTGTTTATATTTGTTATTGTCGGCATTTTCTTTGCAGTCTTTTTATTTTCGTTTTTTACTTCTCTTTAATTAATGCCAAAAACGGTATGAAAATTTAGAAGGAAATTACAGCAATTATTAGCAAGAACAACAGATTTACACCAAACAGAAACATATACTTCTGTGACCTTAACTCATAATTGTTTTCAATGTAGTAAACATGTTTAGCTTTTATTAATTGGCATTTCTTTCTACCTTTGAGCGAAAATTTTTTCGTAAAAAGTTGTTTATTGCTGCCATCACTATTTAAAAAGAGTGGAAATGGGAAAAACGGAACGTTTTTTGGTAACAACAATCAGAGTTATCAATTTCCATACTTGAAAGTACCACAATTCCTTAATCCATGGGAAACACTCCACTTTTTCTGATAAGAATTTGCCGTACAAAATACGTATTACTGTTCAGGCAGCTTGGACTCGGCTAAGCGACCGTGCCATCCTGACGCATGGCGAAGTAACCTTTACCTCAGATCCTAGGTTTCAGTTGTCGTTGAAAGAAAATGAGCACGACTGGATTTTAATTATACGGTTTGTAAACAAGAATAAAAATAAACAGTTTTTTCTTGACACTGCTGTTTTGACATTATCTTGCGTTGTTGTCCTTTAAGCATATTAGCGATAACAAAAAATGTAGTCGGACGTAAAAGTTAAATAGACAGGAAAGCAAAAATTAACAAAAAACACTTTTTCGACTTCATATTACGCGCAATTCTAAAGCATTTTATCAGCTGTGAAAATAAAAGTTTTAGATGACTTTATAGCTGTAATATCAATAAAAGACTAATCGCCCTCTATTTCTTAATCAGCTACTTCTACAACATCTTGCTTACGTACTTTGAGCACTTTTAGGCGAGCAGAACTGTCGGATTCTGGTTGCTATTTATGTGAAATAAGCACTGAACCGAAAAGTACCGTTTATACCGTGTATTTAGAGGTTGATGGTGAGTTTACTCGTAATTTATATGTTATTTTTATCACAATGCTATAAGAGATATAGGCTGAAGTATAAATAAATAACTCTGTGCATATATATATATA